TGTGAGACCCCTACTCGGGATCATATCAAATTTTCAAATAGCATAGTTTATTTGATATTTACTTAAGAAGGGATTCAAGGTAATGCAACGCAAACATGTTTTGGTGTCTGTGTCGCGGTCACTCAAGTTCATTATATTCTGAATAGTTTTCATATTGAGTTTCGTTCCTTTGTTACAAAAAAGTTTTTTTTAAGTCTACGTTTAATATTTATGTACTTCTTATCATCAGATCGCATGCCTAATTGGTAAAATGTTAATGATTTATTACATTTAAGACGTGGATGCTTTTTGAGAGACTTATATATTATTACATTGTATTTTCAGGGTTTGTCGCGAGAACAATTTTCTCATCGCAAGCTCGTGGATACAATCGAGAGGCCAGCGTGTTTGGCAACTTAAGAATCTTCCCCCTCGGGTTGAGATTCCCCTATCTAACCCCCAAGGGGGTGAGAGATTATATTAATCTCACCCCACAGTTCTGGGAAAGAATAGGCCTGCTGTATCACCCTGCATGATACAATGTATCTAAGGGACAACTAATATGGATCTCCAGGTAGAATCGTGATTGTACTTTCCACGACACCTTCAAGAGGGCGTTGGGGAAACCGAAATAGAACTGGTGCCCCAATTTGAACAATTGGGATGTATATGATTTTATTCATCACTTTTCTGCTCTGTCTTTTGGGTGTTCCTCCCTAGTCGTACGGCGTCATAAGACCTTAGTGATTGGAAGGACGTTAAACCCCCATATACACAAACTAAAATCAAGAAAATGTTCCCAAAGATCGCGGTTTACAATCATGAAGTGGGATATAGAAGGCCAATAATTATAAAGGTGTCAATTCGTTCCGTATTTGTATATCCTGTTACCACATCAAATGACCATGATTGAACTGGATGTACAGCAATGCTTTTATCTGTTTGTTTTGTCTATTTGTTTGTTTGTTTGTTTGTGAGAAAAGGAACAATATAGGTCCCAAGTGTTGCAGTGGGGGCAGTATATCATTTAGATTTCTTTAAAGTTATATTATCAGAAAATACAGACGAAAGCCCGCGATTCTGCAGGGACCCCCTCATAAGTCGCCTGCTTAATGCCGGCGATACACCAGGCTTATGTTGTCCTCCAATCTACTGGGGTTTAGGAAGAAATGTGTAATGTATCTAAAATTAATTGTTCCCTTTAATTTTTAATAAAACAAATCTCGTTTTGAAATTATTGTTTCAGCTGATATTCCCTAGCTAGATGTGGTTATAAAGGACAGATTATTAGATAAAATATAATATAAACATTGTTGATCTTGTATGTCACCGTTTGAAACATGGCATGGTTTCTGTTTACGCCGCAATTAATGACAGGCTGTCAGTATGTATGCTTTTGCAAACTCGAAATCAATATATAAATTTCACCACTTCCGAACGATCAGAGACTTATATTTTTGTTTAAGAGAGCCTGGTGTTAATGTATAAATTATTATCATCCCAAAATTATCTGATGTTTTTTTTCTCCATTGAATTGTACTTAATGGTGCATTGTAAGAATTTATTTTCCCCCCAAAGATGATAATAACACATTGTTTAAAATCAGATGAACGTTTTGTTTGATGGTAAGTGCACATCCCCTTTAAAGAATATTTCACTTACAGCAATTTACTCGCCATGAACGGCAACGCTACCACACTATTAGGCGTTATGTCGGTGTTTTAAAAGTTTTAAAACATACTTTGAAGAACTTTAATACTTTAAGATAACGTAGTAGTTGCTTTGGCATAACTTGTTTTGTTTTTTTACTAAAATGTAACACACAAAACTATTAACGAAACACTTTTGTGAAATATGCTTCACTTTGAAAGTAATGATTAAACATGATCTATATTAAAACAATATTTTGACCTGCTAGAAGGCATGGCAAGTTTCCTTTTAACACTTGAATACATAACGATCATTTAGAATCTTTTATCAATAATCACGAAAAAAAATCAAACATTAAATACATCAACTTTCACTTTCATCGTTATACTGATATTGTCTCAAAAGGTCTATATATAACAATAGGCTGAGGTTACATAGAAATAAGAGTTTGATAAAGTTCAAATTTCATAATGGAACTGGGTTTAAATCATCTTCATAAAAATAATAACATTACTGGAATGTTCGTCGGAAGTATGAAAAGCAACACCAGATTTTTTGTTTTTAAGTTGCAATTTTACATATCTTAGGTTTGCAAAACTTGAAAGTACATCAGTCGCTATATAAAACATCCATCATCAAATATAATATCAAAGTTGTCATTTTGTCTTCACACTGTCTTGTCAACTGTGTTGAAAAAAAAGAAAATCGGTGTCGAAGAATAATGAGACTTGTATGACACAAGTGGAAATTTATAATTAGACAGTGATTAGGAATGATAAACTGGGAACGGACAGGACGAAAAAACAACAACAGAATACTTAAAAGTAAACAAAACCGTGGAAGGAAAGATTGCCATGGAGACCATAGAAATTCCTCAAAATTGTATTAATTAATGTAAGTGCTAATTGGATCAATTGTATATCTATGTACTGTAAAGAGCTTTAGAGTGGCTTAACTTAGCTAGATAGGACGCTATATCAAATGCTGTATATTATTATGAACTAATTTATAACAGCGATGCCTCAAAATTGGGGCACATGAAACATTTTTTAGTCCTAACTAACGCTGCAGTTATGTAATATGTGCCAAAATAAGATTGAACGTATTAGGCACTATGATAGATAAGTATGATATGTAATGCGCGGTAATAATTGGTTTAAATGATCTTTTTTTTGCGTTGGAAAAAGTATGTGAGAGCTGCAACTGCCAGATGACGACATCTATGATCTGTACATTGCCGTAAAAAGAACGTATTTCAATTTTAATAAATTTTATTGTCAAAGGACAAATGGATTGGGTAGCAGGCATAGTCTATTTAAGCCCTTTCCAAAAATAGTAACAGACAGTGGTACAAGCATATACATAGACATTAGAACACATACAAACACATACAAACAAGCTGGTATTATCAAATTAGGGGAAACAACTACTAATACTCATTGTTATGATAATTGAATCTAATGGTTTAAATTTAAACAAAAACGTTTGCTGAGTCAAACACCGAGTCAAGAATCACCAATACCGTATACGTCATACGCGGATGCAAGAAACAGTGATAGCCATAAGCCAAAAAGTATGCGTAATACGTCATACGCCAAAAAAATGTGTAATACGTCAACCGCCAGAAGGTATGTGTAATACGTCAAACGCAAAAAAAGTATGAGTAATACGTCAAACGCCGAATCAAGTAATCAGATTGTATGATCCGTTTTATGCCGAATCATTTAACAAGAACGTATGGTCCGGTTTTTTGTCGAATCAAGTAACAAGAATGTATGGTCCGTTTTATGCGGAATCAAGAAACCGGATGGTGTTGTCCGTTTTATGCCGAACCAAGATGTAAATTTCGTAATGCCCAGCCGTTATACGCCATATTAAGAAACTAGATTGTATGCCGTGTTATTTGCCGAAAGCATTCAAGAAAGTGTTATCCATCAAAACGAAAATAAACAACAACACATGTGTGTGACATGGTATACAATGTATGTCGACGGAAAAACATTAAAAAGGCCAGGAACGATTGAAGCCAATCTAATTGAAATTAGATCTTCGCATCGCTCCCTTTTACTGAAACATGACATATCAGAAAACGGGCGCGATGCAAATATCTCATTCTTTATTCGATTGTAATAAAGCAAAGTAAGTTGGAATAGGCAGGTACTCAGTTTATTTCTGTATAGACAACACCACTTTAAGGCAGGCTTACAACTGTATGTGCGATTTGTGTTCAGGCTTTGGTATTCTTTGTTTGTGAAATGTGTGAAATCTATAGCCCGGTCCAGGTTTACTCTTCCATTATAAAGTAAATTCACTGCATATCACCAAGTACAGATTATGTAGTAAGTACGAAATTAAAATCAATGAGTTTTACCTCAGCGTTATCAAATTTAAAACTTTTTTTCTGTACAGTTCTATGTTTATGCGTTAACCCATTCAGTTCGTGTTACCCATAGCTTTTAACAAGTGACACATCTGTGACATAGAACATTATTATATTACATTACAGATAGACCTACCCCAAAAACATAAATGTATTGCAGCAAACAGTATTAACTTATTAAGACAATGGCTAGGACACCGAAAAGTCAGGCAGCGCAAATGTTTCGAGTAACCTTTTGTATTGTCATGCAAGCAATGTTTTTGAACATAAAATATTTATAGATGACATTTATGAAGGAAATACAAACAATCTAATAAAATAAATAAAAAGATATTATGTTCTTATTTTATTACACTTTTTAATATGTACCTCCTTATTTTTTCGTTGACAAATGTGTTTGAAAAGTCGATGTGCAGTTTTTCTAACGCTGAACCCTAAAATATGTTTATTTAGCATAGAGTAAAAGGATAAAATTGAATTATATTCACTTCTACTGTTCGATGTACATTCTAATGCAAGGTAAAAAGTTTAGAGGAGAAGTTTTCGGATATAATATATATATGTACAAAAGATTGGTTTATCATACATCCTACCTATCAAATTTGTTTTTTGACAAAGATTATGGCACTTAATATCTAATGAATATATATATATCAATATTAATAAGTATTTTGACTTTAAAGTAGAGATAAAGAACGTAATGTTTAATGACTAATAAAGGCAATTTAAAAATGATGAAAAGTAGTGTATGAAAACCATGTAACGTAGCCGTTTGCGAAAGTTTTTCTCATAAGTATAATAAAATGTTACCTAAATTTCAATTGGAATAGTTTTTCATTTGTTAACGTTTTTTTAAACATGTTATTTATCCCAGTTTGTGCAGAATGCGTTGTCAGTTCTGCATTTATAGCGTCGGATCATGCAGAGCTTATTGTCATTTCCAAATAAAACGTAAAATAAACGTAACAGATTACAGGTATATTGTACTCACCTGAAGTGCTGATGACAAGTTTTCGTCGGCTGACTGTGCTTTTGCTGTGGTTATGAGTAATGTACAAACAAACATTGTTCCCAACATGAAACATAATCTGTATACATCTCTACCTATCATAATTGTTGAATGTAATATGCTCCTCTAGCAGGATAAGGTAAATGGCAGCTGATGTTCAACAGGCCTTTGCTCTTCTCGTACAGCTGCTTCCCCCTTTATATAAGTTGGCTAACCTGTACAAGCGCTCCCTACTCTTCCGCCCACTGAACGAACGCCTGCAGCAAGCAACGATATTATTGGCAGGAACACGGCTCAGTTAGGCTTCCCTAAGTTCGTACGTAGTCCTTTATTAGCGAGGTAGTACTGCGTCTAACTGAACGGAAGTGATCACCGTGCAAGATGGGTATTGATTATAATTGTTATATATTAATGGCTATTTTTGGTAGAGAAGGTATCAATTGTACGCGTTAATACATGATATCAAATAATGCCATAGTCAATTGCAAGGACTCACCTGTGATTGTGTGGGTATTGATTATAATTACTGAACATTACTGGTAAACGTTAATACGAATACGTTTTAAATTAGCTCATTAGTTTTCAAGTTAGTTGCAATAGCTCGTCTGTAATCCAATGTTATTTATCTGCATCGATTAACCAAATTAAACGACACAAATAGCGGCTTCAAAGTGAATGTACAGTTCATGTACAGTTCATGGTTCGTTCGGTTGGTTCATGACGTTAGAACGATGTTTAACATGTGCTTGAAACATTTTGTTTTTGAATTTTATTCATTTTCTTTCTTTGTTTTTACTGAATCGAAAACTATGCTTTTATATTTCCTTTTTCTAACCAACGGATGGTATTTCAGTATTGATAATTGGAATTCTACATTATGTTTCAATTAATATTCGTTAAAGATTTAAAACGATTTGGCTTCATCTCTTTCCTGATTCATAGCGCTAAACTTAATCTCTCGCAAAAATAAAATAATTTGACAGAAGATAACAGTTTGTTATTTTTGACAAATTACTACAGAATAAAATCTTGTAAATTTTTGTGAAACCCTACCTATAATTTGTCATATGTTAAGTTATTACTCAATTCATGCAACACGACTTGATAGCATCAAAATAAAGTGAATTTGTGGGAAACTTTGTGTTATAATAACTGATTATGAAAACGAATAAGGATGAATCTTTTTGTCCATAATATTTTATATTTTTTGTCATTTTTATGGAAAATTTTACTTTTTGTCGAGTAAATTAGACTTTTATTTGTAAACTGCATTTGCTTTTTGTTGAAAACACTACTTCGGATTTAAGCGTTAGACTTTATTCTAATAAATCAAAATATTATATCAATAATAAAATCAAAGATTCTTAGACGCTTCCATCTCATATTAAAGCCACTTACTAAGATCATACACATACTTAGGTGAAACTTTAAATAAAAACATCACTAGGGATACATTTCATAATAAGGTAAAATGTTGAATAGCGTAATGTTGGTTTTTGTTTATGTTTTTCTATATCAATGATTCCCAACTGATATTACCGTTGAATTTGTTGATTCGATTGTGTAAGGTATACTGTATTCTATGCTCAGTAGTTTGCCATGTGATTTCGTTGTTCTGGTTCGTAGTTTTAAAACGCAACATTACTTACATTGGCTTAGATGCCGTTGATGACAAAGACGCTTATACCTTACGCATATATCTCTCTAGTATTAAAAACCCAATTTCAAATTAAATTCGAAAGGAAAAATCAGAGCTGCATTATGTATCTAAAACGTTGGTTAGCGTTGTGTAAGCGACAGTCTGTGTTTAACGAAAAAAACATGTTTCCAAGATAAAGCAATTATGAGATTTTTCAATATTTTAGCTTGTCAGGAATGGTAACAAAAATCTTTCGAAGTCAATCAGGTTCACTTAATATAATATCTACAATTCGTTATCCTGCATTCCTAGCCTTCAAGCATATCTTCAGTAATCTATAGCGTATTTGAACTATTCTTGAATATTTCATCGTTAGTTTTAAGGAAGACAAAATATCATATATGTGTTTTAGTTGATGAGTTTCCTGTTTTTAATAGTGACCAACACTATCATATAAGTACTCTGAATTTCTTTAAATTGTATTTCTCTGTTTCTAAACTAAACACAATCTATTTCTGTAATATGTTATACGGCATGTCATGAAACAGATGTAGGAATTACTATTCAAACTGTATAAGATGATCCACCTCTTCTAAAGAGCAATGCGTCTTTCTGCCCGCTCTGAACTAAAATAAAAGAATGCTTTAATTTAAAACAGCTTACCATAATATTAGATATAAATGCACTTTTAAGCGTGATTATATAATTGAAGGTATGATGTTTTAACTGAGGTTGTCGTTTGACAGAACCACCAGGGATATTGCATTTTTATCTGCAGAGGAAGTAAATTGGTTTATTCACCTATGTTTCCTTATACCTAAATTTACTTTTTTAATCTGTCACATGGAATAAACAGTAACGATTGTCAAACAGAATTAACACGGAAAGCATCTATTAGAAAAGCGAAATACCTGTCACTGATGTGTAAGCATTATCTGTAGGTAAAGGGGATTTACCTCTGCCTTATGACAAGGACAAGGAAGTGAATATCTCGATCATATTATTGAATACTTATACAGCAGTGCGTAACATCATTTAAAACAGTCTGAGATAAAATCAAAGGTCTATCTACTGGAAACGACTAGAAGCTATTGAACAAAAGTAATTATGGTATTGGCTTCTATTTCTTTTAATTCTCCTATACTCCAAATTACAGAAAAAGTAGATATTACAATTCAAAACTTGGCCAAATATGTGGTTTTTTATCCTTAACCGAAAGAAGATGAAAAACATCATGACCTTTCAGTGTTTGTATAAATAAATATGTGTATCTGTATATATGCTGCGACTCCAAATCTATCAGTAAGGAAAACAATAGATGCAAATGATTTGGTTTTCGAGAATTGGTCTAGAGGAATAACTTGTACAGATTTCATATAGAACAAAACCATTATTTTTTAAATCAGTTACCGTTGATGTGTTGCATAAATATATTTTTTACATAATGCATTGCGTTTGTTCTTTATATTCTGAAATCGACTTTCTTTTGTTATTAACGCTTTCTCCATACGAAGTTGGTAAAAACGTGAAAAAACATTTAACTACATTAATTTATTGTCTTGTAACTGTGAAATATAACCTGTTTTTGAATTGTCATCGGTTACATGACTTATATACTAACGGTCACGTCACGATAACGTTTATTTTGTTCTTTAAAAGAAATTGATTTCTAGCATTCAAATGTCATTGACTGCTTTGTTGTTAATTCTCCGTGTGAGTATTTATATGGCAGATTGATTTTTATTCTCTACTGTGGAAAAAAAGAACAGTTTGTTGTACAGTATAACAAGTACACTTCACAGAAAATGTTCATGATTTCCTGAGGTATTTCAAATCGTACAAACACTTTTTCTCGAAGACTTTTCGTTGTAGTAGCTGACACAATAGTTAATAAGTAATGTTGGATGTTATTAATAAATGTAATAAAATATTTATTAAATTTCTGTCATTGTTAAGTCAAAAGCAGTTGCTCCCTGTGCTAGTTATTGCTTGTGTGTTGTATTGCAATCAGCCTTCGACTTCATGGAATATAAAACCAAGTACACACACATGTTCTACTACAAGCAGAGAAACGTCGAGCAATAAATCGCTCGGCCAACTATCAGCACCGAGGGACAAACTTATTAATTACTTTTCCTTGTGAATGCATTTAATATCAGTATCATATCATATTGTTCTTCACGCCATTGTTTCGGTAATCTGTTGCAGATGCTTTTATCTTCTCGAGTCCAAAGCTTTACACGTATATAGCCTAAACGCTTTTCTAACTAGTTATCGCTTTACTACGTCACTGCAACGCTTAAGCTTTCGTGTGGGCATTCGACTTTTGCATTCAAATTGGATACTAGTATGAAATTGCCATTTGTCTCACACGGGTGTTGTAAATAGTTCGATCTTATCTCATTATGACGACAAGAAAATATTAAAATCTACATTCATCAGTTGTTGGGGAACAACAGGCTAATCACGAATGTTCCCTATCGTGTGGGCTTTTCAATGAGACGTATTTTCGGAAATATACTTAGCTGTTCCAAATTGATCAATTGTAAAATGTTCAATAGCAAACAGGGAAGTTTGGGAAAGTTAAGGGTCCCTGTACCACTGTCAAAAAACGGTAACCATGCGCTGGCAACTTTTTCTCCATCGTGACTATAGCTTTGATTAATAATTTCTGAAAAGAACTCCATACATTGCGATTATTTTGTGAAAACAATAGTAGTGTTCTTAGTGTGAAAATGCAACGAGGTTAGACCAGAATTTGAACCCTTGACCTCCAATCATTTCATCATTTTACTGCCAATCGAAGCTTGTGTCTTACCTTGTTAAGAAAAGTATCCTTACCCTGTCGCGCTATAGTGATATCCAAAGCGAAATTAAGGGGAGGTAACTTTGAAATCCTTTAGTGTTTTGCCTGCAGTTGGACAAACATCCTTAAAGACAAACTTCAGGATAAAAAAAATCAACAAGCTACAATGTAGAAAATCAATGATGTACTGGCCTATTGAACGGCATTCTATTTTTGACATTGTTTAAAACTTGTGGTGAAACAACAAGAATAGATAACTACGATGTTTTTACCGACATTACAAACTAGTCACTCCTATTTATGGAATTTAAAGCATTCCACTCACACATCCACTTCCGACACACATACATCAACCTACTTACAACACATTATGTATAGCAAAGCTAGTGCAGTAACAAAAGGCAATCTAATTCTAGACATCGGACATAAATGTACACGATTTATTGCAATTAAGAAGAAAATCTTTGGATCCGAGAAATCAGATTCTACTTACATGTACTTCTTCGTCATTGTACGAAAGAAATTGTTCAGGTAAGATGAATCACAAACGGAGCGGAGTTTCGAAAACAATGACTAAGAGAAAATTGACTAACAATAGAAGCAACGCCCTAAACCAGAAAATAAACCAAACGATGAGGACAAACAAGAAACCATGAAAACATAGCAACGAAACGCTGTAATGTCAAGAGTGTCTCTATCAAGGAAAGCAAACTTTATTTAATTTGAAAGAAATAATCCATATACGTTGTTTCAGCCCATCAACAATGTAATATCACTCTTATTGGAATGGTAAAATCAAACGATGAGGGATTAAAACGAATAATGACATGTATTTTGTGTCCTTTTTTATTTGTCTGCAGACT